CTCCCTCCTTCTTTTTGTTCTCCCCTCCTTTCCTTCTTTCTTGCTGCACTAGTGTCCTAGAGAGACCGTCTATTTAAAATCCTTAGAGGAATGAACACCCTGTGGTTGAAAACCTCAAATGACTATTATTAAGAAAGCTTACATCTAAAAGGACCAAAAAACTAGTGAGAGTTTTGCTTTACTTAACACTCTTTCCAGTATGGCAAATGGCAGATGGGGCTGATAAGTGTTGTTGCAAATCATTGGCTCTGGGTCTTCTAGTGCTTTTTTGTGTCCTGATGAGTTTAGAGACCAAACTTCTGCTTAAGCTAAATTGAAAACGGTCATTTACTTTTTTTTTAATCGTCATGTATTTTTAGAATGACAGACCATTAGAACCAGAGGGAGGGTTGAACAAAATCGACTTCAGTTTCGTTGCTTTACAGATGAGAAGACTAAAGTTGAGGGACACTAAGTGATTTCCCAAAGATTGCATAACTTACTGTCAGAGCCAAACTTGCTGATTTTTTTTTTCACCATAACACATCTCAGTCAGGAAGAAACAAACCCTCCAGAAAAATTATCTTGCCCTTTTTTTGTCCCTTCTATGCTTGTCTTCTGCTTGGAATCACCAGTGTTTATGAACAAATCATATTCTATGGGTTCCTAGGAATGTGGATATGAGAGAAGTTAGATTGCCCTCTTCAGAGTTGATTATGATATTAACTAGCATTGGCCTTCTTACCTACTGAAAAATTTCCTTGAGCTGTTGGAAAGTATCCTTTGCTTTGGTGGTCAAACTATTAATGTGGGTTGTATTCATAGACACGTAAGTCACCTGCTAATGTTGTGACATTGGCCAATGACATTAACATATCTAGAGAGATAAAAGGATTTCAGCATAAGAGCTTGAACTGCAAATATATAAGAGGAAGAGAGGAGCCAATGTAGGAGTTGACCAGTATCCTGCTCAGAGCAGAGGAGAGGGAAGCCTCTCAGCTAGGATGTTGAGAATTTCATTCCCATTGTCAAGGCTCTCCCTTACTAAAAGGGTGCTCCTTTTTTGAATTTTCTTGGCTTCCTGGTTTTCTTCTAACCTCACAGGCCACTCATTCTGTCATCTACTTGCTCCTTCCTGCTCTCCCATCTGACTTCTACATGGTAGAGTCATTGACATGTATTTGTCTTCTCACTCAATACTTTGTCCCAAGATTTCATTCATGCTGATGAATCCCCAGATTTATAGTTCTGTCCCAGATCTCTTTTCTGACTCAAATTATCTATCTATCTATCTATCTATCTATCTATCTATCTATCTATCTATGTATCTATCTATCTCATCTATCTCCAACTAGATGTCACAGGATTGTCACAAATACATGTGTAAAATTCTGTCTATCATCACCATTGTCATCATTTATCTCCAACTAGAAATCACAAGATTGTCATAAATACAAGAGGTCTCAAATTGTATTCATGATCTCTTTACCTATCCTCCCCAATCCGGTTCACCTTTGCATTTCCCCAACTCAGAAAATGGCACCTCCACTGACTGGCTGCTAAAACCATAAATTTGGTGGTCATCCTTGAAATCTCCCTCTTCCTCCTCTTTCAACCCATCACAAAGTTATATTTTTATTTGTTATATATTTCTTTGAAGCCAACAGCTACGCTTTGTCTTCACTACCACAGCACTGATTTTATACCACAATTTTCTTTACCTGCAGGATTAGGATAATCTCCTAGTTTCCCACATTCATTCATTCATTCATTCATTCATTCTACTTTAATCCATGTAGCAAGTGTTCATTTAAAAATGGACTGGATCATGCCACTTCCCTGCTTAGAACACACTAATGCCCATCACTTCCCTCTTCATCCTCAGCTTGAATCTTTCTCCCTTCTCTGCACACTCCAGCTCCAATGGCTGCCTTCCTCCTAAGGGTTGAGGGTTTCCTGCCCCAGATTCTTTACACATTTTATTCTCTCTGCTTGGAATTCTTTCCCTCCCACAACCTTTCTCTTCCCCACCTCTCCCAACTTCTATTAATTCTTCAGACTATTTTTAAGTGTCATAGAGACAGAAGGTAGAATGACAGTTGTCAGGGGGTGGGGGGAAGGGACTGAATGGGGAGTTCTTCTTTAATGGCTATAGAGTTTGTTTCATAAGATGAAAATAGTAATGGAGAAGGATGCTGGTGATGGTTGTACAACATATTGAATGTACTTAATACAACTGAACTGTATGCTTCAAAATGGTTAAGATGATGAATTTTGCTATGTGTTTGATTACAGTAAAAAAAATTGATTTTCAGATGACAACTCAGACTCATGTACCTTTTCATTCATGTGTATCAGTCTCTGAGGTCCTGAGAACAGTGAACCTGTGGGACCTCAGACTTGGGGTCAGGCCCTGGGTCACATTAATTCACTAATAAATATAACCCATGAGGCTTTGTTAGAGATAGCCTTGCAAACCTTTTTCCTTAGTAATGCTTGGCAGCCTTACGATTTAAGCTTATCTTTTTGAGGGGGAATATCTGTGTTGAGTAATTCAGGAAGTATTGCCAAATTTTTGCCAGTTATTAAAGATAGCAGTTTCCAAATACAGTTACCATCTGCATGTGCCACTAAAGAGATTAGCCAGACTAGGCTAATTTCAGGACTTCTAAAATGTTCAGTCAGGTCCTTCCCAGCAACTGGATTTTATAAGCTTGGGAAATGCTATTGACAGTATACTAATGGACCCAGAACCAATTGGACAGAAGTACTACAGAATTGGAGGATTCTTAATAATAAATCTTAGCAATAAATGTATTATCCTTCTACATGCCAGGGACTATGCTTTTATACACGTATTGTTTCATTCTGTTCTCATCACAACTCCGCAAAGCATGGCTATGGGTTATCGACCCCATCGTATAGATTAGGAAACCGTATCTTTTCCTTTAAGTTTATTTATTTATTTTGAGAGAGAAGGGGAGATGGGAAGAGAGAGGAGGAGAGAGAGAATCCCATGCAGGCTCCACATTGTCAGTGCAAAGCCCAGCGCAGGGCCCTATCTCATGAACCGTGAGATCATGACCTGAGCTGAGATCAAGAGTTGGGTGCTCAACTCTCTGAGCCACCCAGGTGCCCCAGGAAAACATAGCTTAAAAAGATTTTAGCACAGTTAGTAAGTGTTGAGCTGGGATGTGAACCTGAGTCCACCCAACTCCAATGCTTAAGTTCATAAGCACTACGTGAAATTGCCTTCCCCTGACTTGATAATGCAGCAAACTGCTGTTGTATTAACTGCTTTGTTTAGCAATCCCTATCTTCTAAGTCTGATTTTTGTCATGATAATTAATGATACCAAAGGGTCATTAATATATGTGCTTGGGCATCATTAATTTATTCAACAAAGACTTTTCTGAGCACTTTCTATCTACCAGTTATTATGTAGATTCTAAGGAATGCAGATGATGAGATACAGTCCCTTCTCCCCCAGAAGCTTGCCGTTTTGTGGGAAGCAGCAGATAACCACATATGCACAATACGATATGAGCAATGCTAGAATAGGAGGACAGAGTCTGAGGCATCAAAAAGGGATGTCACAGAAATGTAATGTGATCCAACTCTTGAAGAGCAGAGATCTTCCAGGCAGATAGGCAGGAGGAGAAAAAAAGGGTAGAGAAAAACACTGTGCAAGATTTTGGGAGGCTTCTATACTTCAGTATTAAAGGAATGCCTGTCACAGTGGGGTGGGGGTAGCATTTCAAGGAACCAATTGGAAGAAATCACAGGCAAGGGGCCAGACCATATCAGATGTTTATTCTATTCAGAGCTCTTTTGAATAGGAATAGAAACCAAGTCAAACTAGCTGCAGGCATGAAGTTTGACCTTTTAGGCTTGAGTGCCTTCTCCCAAATGCCTGTGGTCTTGTGTCTCTTAATTCACGTTCTCAAGAAAGAGAATCTGATCAGTCACTGACCAAATGCCTGAGTCAGGTGTCTGTCCCTCCCCTGCCTGGTAGGATGACCCAGGTGTGTGTGTGTGTGTGTGTGTGTGTGTGTGTGTGTGTGTGTGTGTGTTTGGATGTGGATATGGGAAGCTTGCACTGGAGCTTTTCAAGTTTGGGATCCCATGGTAGGGTGGTTTAGGATAATGTCTCAGGAACAACGGATAGGAAGTTTTCCCTAGGAAGCCTGTGAGTGAGAAAGGCAATAAAGTCAATCTAGCACAACATTGTGGGCCTGGGGAAAAGTATGTATTCTTTAGTAGAAATTTACAGAAATCGAGAGAAAAATCATCCATTAGAACCACAGGGATATCACTTAAGGCAACTCTCATTCATGGCCCCAAAACATAACCATGATAAAGCTGAAATAATTCGGGTTTCTTTGCATTGCTACTGACTTTGAATTATTTAAAATTTAGTATGTATAGGAATCATCTCACAAATAAAATTCTACATCTTATCCTTAAGTGTCACGGAGAAGGATGGCTGTACTGAGCAGAGCCACTAGACGAAAGGAGACTTGAGTCCCTAACTGACTGCATGAGAACAGAGGACATACCCTCCTCATTAACATAGGACAATAATGTAAATGAGAAATTTTTATCAGGCAAATAAGATTTGGAGGTAGTTGGTGCAATTAGTGTAACTGACTTAGAAAATGCAAACAGAAATGGTGTGTATCTTTTCTAGGCTTGGCCTGTCCATGAGTCTCCCAACTCTGGATAGAACAGAGCCTACCCACTCCCTAGGTCTGGGTTCTTGAGCAACTGTGTGCAAAAGAGTTTCTGCTCATGTATTCACAGCACAGTACTGTTATGTGAGCAAGAAATGAGTTTCTATTATGTTATTATTATACATTTGGGGGTTCATTGTTATAGCTATTAGCTTACCCTAAGAGGCAACCACCCATTCTGGATAATTGCTATCTTTAATTTTAGATCTGCTTGAAGGTGATAAAGAAATAAAGAAATGATGTTCATAAAAAGATATGAAAAAAGCCTAAAGTGAGTTTTCAAAAACATTTGTGTATAACCATTTTATTTAAAGTAAGCTTTTGTACCATGCTCTCAAATTCTGTTTGGGAAAAGTCTCAAAAGGTTGCCATATTTTTTTCTATTTTCCATAAGATTAAAATCAGTGTTAGTAGCAGATGTTGTTATTCTCTGATATTTTCTATTTCATATGTATTACTGAATTTCTCTAAAGTTTCATAAAAAAAAATCTTTTCCTTTTAGACTTTCCTTATAGCCATAGAGTTGAAGACAGCTCTACTCACATAAATTTATTGCTTAATAAATTAATCTTACAAATAGAAACATTAGAATTCAAAAAATAGATACATAGGACCAAAAAGAAAAAGCAACATCCCATTTCAGTGCAACACATATAATGAATTATGGAGTAAAGCACTTACAGTGAATAGACAAGTTTTTAAAAGTTGGTACGCTTGGAAGAAAGTTATTCTCTTTGATTATCCTCAGTGATGCATTTTGTAAATTGTGTTCTTGATTTTATGCTGCCTTCTTCATTTTTCTTCCTTGAAATATAAGCCCCTTCGGCAAATATATAGCATTATAGACATTGAAAATATTTGCAGTTGGGAATGGTTGGAAATGACATAGGCTATCCTAAAATATACACTGCTAAACGTGGGCGGTTCTGAAAAAATATGCCAAGAACACTGGAGAAGCAAGAAAGCATATGCCACTATTTCCAATTCAAAATACTTAAGTTTTTAATGTTGTGTTCTTTGTATCGTGCAGTGTAGAAAAAATCGGAAGTTCCTAGTGCTGGCTTTATTCTTTGGGGCCCGGAAATTAATATTTATGTGAAACAAGTACATAATAATAATGGATTATACTACAAGTTGGAACACGCAACATCAAACTTCATGCTTAGAAAACGTAACACTGGTAAAAACAGAATTTTCCCTCATGTAAGTAGAATAATTCAATTATCCTTTAAACATTGCCTAAGCATTTCGGTAAAAACTATTTTTATTCTCTTTCAGAGTATTTTCCTTTTTGAAAAGCAAAGTTTCATGTTTATGTTTTCCAGAGGGCTTTTTCCTATGTGAAAATGACTCTATTTTAGAAATCCGTTATTACTTATTGGCAATGTAAATAATTCTGTGCTTTTCAATGACACCGATGTCATGTTCCAGCTGCTTCATTTCTTCTTCCAGCTTCTGCTTGCGAATCTTCTTCGGTATGGAATCGATGAACACAGAGAGGGACTGGAACTCCTTATGTACCTCTTCCCAGTTCTTCTTCAGCCCCTGCAAATGTGACGAACACCGTAAATATTAAAGTAGCTGCAAAAGTAATGTCAATGGTAAAAAAAAAAAAAGTATACTAGTGAAGAAAAATGCAAATTGATAAAGAAAACAGAGGAAGATAACGTTACAGGATGATAAGTATTTATCAAGTACTTGGCTAAGTAACAAAACATATTATACAGAGGCCAAGTCCTGTCCTCGATTGTGTGTTCAATTCCCAGAGGGAGTATTTATTTGCTCTGTTTTTAATGTTACTGTACTTGTTTTTACCATCAACTATGAATGTGCAGAGTTACAAGTAGTATGAAACTAAACTCATAGCAAATGTTTTGGTAAAAACAATTTAAAAGTGATATCCATCCCCACCCCCACACCTCCTCACCAGGCAAAACATATTTTTGAATAGGAAATTGTTTATTGTAAAAATTTTAGGTTTTTTTTCGGGGCGCCTGGGTGGCGCAGTCGGTTAAGCGTCCGACTTCAGCCAGGTCACGATCTCGCGGTCCGGGAGTTCGAGCCCCGCGTCAGGCTCTGGGCTGATGGCTCAGAGCCTGGAGCCTGTTTCCGATTCTGTGTCTGCCTCTCTCTCTGCCCCTCCCCCATTCATGCTCTGTCTCTCTCTGTCCCAAAAATAAATAAACGTTGGGAAAAAAAAAATTTTAGGTTTTTTTTCTTTAACTTTTTTTTAAGCCATTATCTTCATTCATGAAAAGGCTTGATTTGGGCTTGCATGGCATGTTTGCTTATATGTGATTAAATGGAATTGCATAAATGCCAAAACTCAATTTAACAAGAGATGATCTTTTATGTATTTTTCCATGTATTATAAAGAACTCTTCATATAGTCAAAGGATCTATACTTCCCATTAATGTATACTAGAAATGACTGAGATGTCATTAAATGTAACACACATGCTAATTCAATAATGTAGTTAATGAGTTAATGCTTTATATTCTCAGTAATCTATGAATTCAAAATTAGGGATCTTTTAGGAGCAATAAAGGTAATTTCATCTCTGCATAGTTCCTTATGACAGTGCACTAGAGATCTCATTGACAAAATGGGCCAAAACCTCTAATCGAATTTGTGCTCTGAAATTTGAAAAATTAACACTTTCTATTATTCACTATTGATGCACAAATCATTTTATTTACACAAAAACAGTCAAACTGAACATAGAATTTAAAATATTGTCTTGAAAATACAGTCCTTGAAATCCATGGCTATATATTTAGGTTGTGGAAAAGATTAGAAGTGCCTTATAATCACACCTTCATAATAAGCCCTCATACTACAAATTTAATCTTGTAAAAACTTTTGGGGGATAATAAAATTTCAATGGCTTATTTCTATGCTTAGGTTAAAATGATGATGAGAACTAGAATAGGTTGGCTGGGGGGAAGGGCAACGGATTTTGAACCCTCATTGAGTGAGTCTAGATAAAGGGTTTAAAGAAAAGATAGAGGGAAGATATCCGGGTTAAATTTTAAAAAGAGGGGGATGGGTTAGCGTATAGTCCTTAATAGTGTATGAGATGTATTCCAAAAAGATGACCTCAGAATTCTTTTTTCATAGTCTTTTATTATGAAATGAAAAATATGTTTCCACAGTGCTCCACAGGGGTGTCTACTGCAGAGAGGAAATCCATGCATTAATACACTTTCAAATATCAAAGGTTTTTCTAGCTACTTGAGTGATATTTCCACATTACTTGTGGTCACAGCAGCTACACTTTTTCTCTGTAGCCTTTATCTTTTAAAGGATAGTTTGCTTTATCTTCCAGTGTGTACAAAAATGTTTGGATCAAAGTCAACAGCCAGAGATGGGAACTAGATGTAACTCATATTTCATATTATATTGAAATAGCCTCTTTGCTGTTTAAAAAAAATTTTTTTTTTCAACGTTTATTTATTTTTGGGACAGAGAGAGACAGAGCATGAACGGGGGAGGGGCAGAGAGAGAGGGAGACAAAGAATCGGAAACAGGCTCCAGGCTCTGAGCCATCAGCCCAGAGCCCGATGCGGGGCTCGAACTCACGGACCGCGAGATCGTGACCTGGCTGAAGTCGGACGCTTAACCGACTGTGCCACCCAGGCGCCCCTCTTTGCTGTTTTTAAAACTTACTTTTGGTACTGCATCTAAAACATCTTTTATTCATTGCAGTGATTTTTTAAATTAATTTTTCTTTCTTCATTTTTTTAATCATTAATTTGGGGAAAACTTCAACTAGGAAGAAGCAGTCATAAAATAAATAAGTGGCTCCGGTTCCATGTTTCTTTTGTGCCCACAACACCCCCATCCATTCTCCACCTTCTTGTCCCGCTCTGTGATGAGCGCCATGGTGTTGTGGGGTGGGAGTCAGGGTTCATTCTTGTGGGCGGGCTCCCCGCAATACCTCCAGCTCTTTTGCCCTCCAGCCTCTGGAATCAGCACTGGTGGGAGGAGAGAGAGGTTGGGGCATTTCTTCTTCCTCTCCCTTGACTACCTGGACGCTAGTTCTGGCTCATCTGTCTGTAATTGCAATCCTGATAGGTGGCCCCTTTTCCAGGCTCCAGATCTTATCATGCTCTGGTAACACTTTCTTGCCTCTGCTGTTAAGCCTAGGGTGGTGATGGATTCCCACTGTCCTCAGTCCTGAGGTGCTTTGGTGTTTGTTGTTTGCTCCCTTAGCCCTGCTTCACTTCTGTAAATAGTTCCTTCATAAATTCAGAATCCTGAATCCTGGCTGAAGGTCCCTTGTATTTCCTGTTGGATCTCCGACTGACAGAGCTTCCTTTTGTTACTTCCTATGCATGTGTGTATGACGTAGTGGGGAAACACTGACCTATGAAGTGGTTGATGTAGGTTTTAGTCCCTTTTTAGCTACTCGATAATTTTGTGACCAAGGGCAAATGTAAACCAAACTCTAAGTTCACTGTCAGTAAAGATTGCAGTTGTCTTGCTCACAATAGAACCCCCTGGCCTGGATACAGTGCCTGGAACGTGGTAGGTGTTCAAATGAATGAATAGATAACAAAACTCAATATATTTGCATTTTATATCCTCATCTGTAAAATGAGAAGTGTGGAATCATTAGACTAGATGACCCCTTGCAGGTATAGTGAGACTATTATTTTATGAAGAATGAGCAGAATGTGGCTGACTCAAGAACATACAACTATATGAGCCTAGCTACCCTGTCACCTTGTAGAAAGTTACACCTTTGTAGAAAGTTACAAAATATGTTTTCTGGTACTGAAGACTTTTAAGATTTACTCTTTTAGCAACTTTCAAACGTGTTACACAATATTACTGACTATAGTCATCATGCTGTACATTACATCCTCATACTTATTTATTTTATAACTGGAAATTTGTATCTCTTGATTTCCTTCACCCATTTCACCCACCCCCAACCGCATTACCTTCTGGCAACCACCACTCTTATGAATTTTGTTTTGTTTCGTTTTGTTTTTTAGATTCCACATGTAAGTGAAATCATATAGTATGTCTTTTTCTGTGTGATTTATTTCACTTAGCATAACACACACACACATATGGACAATTAGATTGCTTTTATATCTTGGCTATTGTAAATAATACTGCAGTGAATATAGGGGGGTATATTTCTTTTCAACTTAGTGTTTTCAGTTTCTTTGGATAAATACCCAGAAGTGGAATCACTGAATCATTTGATAGTCTTATTTTTAAATTTTGAATAACCTCCCTAATGTTTTCTATAGTAACTGCACCAATTTACATTCCCTCCAACATGGCATGAGGTTTCCCTTTTCTCTACATCATCATGAACACTTTTCATTGTCTTTTTGGTAATAGTCATTCTGACAGATGTGAGGCAATATTTAATTGTGGTTTTTACTTTGCATTTCCCTGATGATTAGTGATGTCGGGCATCTTTTCATGTACCAGTTGGCCATTTGCATGTCTTCTTTGGGAAAGTATCTATTCAGATCCTCTGCCCATTTTTTAATTGGATTGTTTGGGTTTTAGTTGTTGTTGTTACTGTTGTTGTTGAGTTGTATGAGTTCTTTATATATTCTGGATATTGACCTCTTACCAGATATACGATTTGCAAATATCTTCTCCCATTCAGGAGGTTGCCTTTTCATTTTGTTGATGATTTCCCTCCCTGTGCAGAGGCTTTCTAGTTTGATGTAGTCCCAGCTGCTCATTTCTGCTTTTGTTGCCCTTGCCTTTAGAGTCAGATCCCAAAAAGATCATTGCCAAGACTGATATCAAGGAAATTACTACCTATATTTTCTTCTAGGAGTTTTATGGCTTCAGGTCTTATGTTCAAATCTTTAATCTTTGTTGAGTTAATTTTTCCACATGGTGAAAGATAATGGTCCAGTTTCATTCTTTTGCATGTGGCTGTCCAGTTTTCCCAACACTCTTTTAAAAGAGATTGTCCTTTTTTCATTGTATATCCTTGCCCCCTTTGTCATAAATTAATTGACCATATACGCATGGACTTATTTCTGGGCTCTCTGTTCTGTTCCATTGATCTATGTGTCTGTTTTCATGCCCATACCATACTGTTTTTTACTATATCCTAATAATATGGTTTGAAATCAGGGAGTGTGATTCTTCCAACTTTGTTCTTTGAAATTTTGATAGGGATTGCATTGAATCTCTAGATTGCTTTGAGTAATATAGACATTTTAACAATATTAATTCCTTCAATCCATGAGCGTGAAATACCTTTCAATTTATTTTGTCTTCTTCAATTTCTTTCATCAGTGTCTTACAAGTTCTCAGTGCAAAGATCTTTCATTTCCTTGGTTAAATTTATTCCTAGGTATTGTATTCTTTTTATTGTGATTGTAAATGGAATTATTTTCTTAATTTCTGTTTCTGAAAGTTTGTTGTTAGTATATAAAAACAAAACAGATCTTGATTTTGTGCTGTGCAACTTTACTAAATTCATTTATTAGTTCTAACAGATTTTTGGCAGAAAAATCATGTCATCCATAATTAGTGTGTTTTACTTCTTTTCCAGTTTGGATGGCTTTTATTTCTTTTCCCTGCCTAATCCCTCTGTCTAGGACTTCCAATGCTCTGTTGAATGAAAGTGGTGAGAGCATCCTTGTCTTTTCACTGTTCAGCATGTGGTCTTGTCACACATGGCCTTTATTATGCTGAAGTACATTCCATCTATACCTACTTCATTGAGAATTTTTATAATTAAATTGATGGTGAATTTTGTCAAATACTTTTTATGCATCTTTGAAATAATCATATGGTTTTTATCCTTCATTTTATTAATATGGTCTATCATGTTGATTGATTTGCAGGTATTGAACCAACTTTTCATCCCTGAAATAAATCTCACTTGATCATGGCAAATGATACTTTTGATGTATTATTGAAATTGATTTGCTAATATTTTGTTGAGGTTTCTTGCATCTATGTTCAACAGGGATATTGGTCTATGGTTTGTGACTGTGTGTGGTGTTCTTGTCTGGTTTTGGTATCAGGGTAATGCTGGCCTTATAAAATGAATTTGGAAGCATTCCTTCATCTTTGACGTTTTGGAAGAGTTTGAGGAGGATAGATGTTAAATCTTTGAATGTTTGGTAGAATTCACCAGTGAAGCCATCTGGCCCTGGACTTTTATTTGTTGGGAGTTTTCTGATAACTGATTAAATCTACTTACTAGCACTTGGTCTATGCAGATTGTCTACTTCTTCATGATTCAGTCTTTGAAGACTGTTTTTAGGAATTTATCCATTTCTTCTAGGTTGTCCAAAATGTTGGCATAGAACTGTTCATAATAGTCTTTTATGATCATTTGTATTTCTGTGGCATCAGTTGTAACTTTTTCTCTTTCATTTCTGATTTTATTTATTTAAGTCCTCTTTTTTTCTTTTAAAAAAATTTTTTTTAACGTTCATTTATTTTTGAGACAGAAGGTGACAGAGCATGAACGGGGAGGGGCAGAGAGAGAGGGAGACACAGAATCGGAAGTAGGCTCCAGGCTCTGAGCCCTCAGCCCAGAGCCCGACGCGGGGTTCGAATTCATAAGACCGCGAGATCGTGACCTGAGCCGAAGTCGGACGCTTAACCGACTGAGCCACCCAGGCGCCCCAAGTCCTCTTTTTTTCTTAGTGAATCTAACTAAAGGTTAATTTATCTTTTTAGAGAAACTGTGCTTAATTTAATTGATCTTTTCTAGTCTTTTTAGTTTCTATTTCATTTATTTCCACTCTGATCTTTATTATTTCCTTCCTTCTAGAACTTTGGGTTTATTTTGTTCTTCTTTTTCTAGTTCTTCTTTTTCTAGTTTGTTCTTTTCTAGCTTAGGTATAAAGTTAGATGGCTTATTTGAGATTTTAATTGTTATAAAGTTCCCTCTTAGACTGCCATCCCATATATTTTAGTTGTATTTCTATGTTCATTTGTCTGAAAGTATTTTTTTTTTTTTTAATTTTTTTTTTTTTCAACGTTTATTTATTTTTGGGACAGAGAGAGACAGAGCATGAACGGGGGAGGGGCAGAGAGAGAGGGAGACACAGAATCGGAAACAGGCTCCAGGCTCTGAGCCATCAGCCCAGAGCCTGACGCGGGGCTCGAACTCACAGACCGCAAGATCGTGACCTGGCTGAAGTCGGACGCTTAACCGACTGCGCCACCCAGGCGCCCCATGTCTGAAAGTATTTTTTATTTCTCCTTTCTTTATTGATCCATTAGTTGTTCATTAGCATATTATTCAATCTCCATATGTGTGTTATTTTTCTAGTTTTCATCTTGTAATTGATTCTACTTTTATACCATTGTGGTTAGAAAAGATGCTTGATATGATTTCCATCTTCTTAAATTTACTGAAACTTGTTTTATGGCATAAGATATGGTCTATCTGAAAAATGTTCCATGTGCACTTGAGAGAATGTATATTCTGGTGCTTTTGGATGGAATGTTCTGTATATATCTGTTAAGTCCATCTGGTCTAATAAGTGTTGTTTAAGGCTAAGGTTTTCCTATTGATTTTCTGTCCAGATGATCTATCTATTGGTGCCTTTTCCTATTTTCCAGCATCGGTTAGATATAAAAACCTGGCTTTCACAAAAGCATGTACTTTCTAAAGATGATAGAATCTGAACTACGGAGAGATGGGGTTGGAGAAGGAGAAAGAGAAAGAAAGAAAAAGAAAGAGAGAGAGAGAATGGACCAAAAACCAGTAGTCTTTGTGAAAATGACATGCAAAGTCCCACCTCCCTGTCTTCCAGTCTTCTTGCCTACCTTCTTCCTTTCTTCTTTCCAGCACACCTGTGTTAAACATCTGTGTTTATACTGGGTACTGAGTAAGGTACTCAACAAAGGCTGTCAACAAAGAGACACTGTCCTTGCCTTTAGACCACTTCTACTGTCTGGAATAGCCTCTTCTTGTGCAGTTGAAGGCCCGGATAAAGACATGTACCTACATACTTCAGTGGATAGATACTCTCTCATGGAACCTAACAAAACTTATGATTTCTACACACACACACACACACACACACACACACACACACACACACACACATCTACATATATACATATCACCTCTTATTATATTACAACATTATCTATAGTAGAATTTTATCTCACGCCCTTTTTATCATCCATGAGGCTTAGCATGATACTATATGCAAAGCAGGAATTTAGTAAATGTTTACTATTATGACATTGATAAAATGTTAAGAATTTATAACAGCATACAAATCCATTTTCAACAGAAGTTAATGTAGGAAAATTTTTTTAATGTTTTTAAAAGGTCATTAGAAATGGATTTGTAGAAATCTTTCAAAACTAACAAAACAAAGAATAAAGTACTATTTTTATCTCTAGAAGAGATAGCATGACTTTATTTATTTACTTATTTAGTTTAAATTTTTTTTTTCATGTTTATTTATTTTTGAGAGACAGAGAGAGAGCATGAACAGGGGAGGAGCAGAGACAGAGAGGGAGACACAGAATTCGAAGCAGGCTCCAGGCTCTGAGCTGTCATTACAGAGCCTGACGCGGGTCTCAAACTCACAAACCACAAGATCATGACCTGAGCCGAAGTCAGACGCTTAACTGACTGACCTACCCAGGTGCCCCAAGATAGCATGACTTTAGAAGAGAACAATTAGGTGCTTAATAAATAATCTCCTAAGATATGGAGCAACCCTGCTCACATCTCTCAATATTTTAAATGCTTCTTGCACTAAACACATAAGGTCATATATCTTTATGTCTATTGTATTCAAAATAAGGAAAATATATTAAAAACCTCACAGCTGGTTATTTTAAAATTTGGACATTTGGCTTACAGGAAAGAAAAAAAATTTGGTCTAGGAACTGTTTCAATTATTCTAGAGCTCCATCTAGTGAAAAATATCTATTTTATGGATATTATTTTTGAAAAATTCAGGGACATGAGAATGAAAATAAAAATGCTTTTTTGCCTTACTTCTGCATGTTCATTGAAGGAGAAGGTGGGCTTCCTTACGACACTAACTATCCCAGGAAAAAACAACAGCTCACAAAATTGTAAACAAAACATTATTCAATAATTCTTATATTACAACTTTTGCTCTCCCCAAAGAACCCAGTGTGCCGCATGTAGTTGTCACCATAACCAAATGAAAGCGTTCTGATTTTAGAGTCAAGGGGCAGGCTTTAAGAATCATCGACAATGGACCTTTCTTTCAGAGATGTTCTAAAGTGTTACATATGAATATAAATTACGGGATACTTACCTGAAGAACTGCCTCCCTTTCTTCATCAGAAATCCTTTTCATAGCTGCTTTCCTAAGGTTTTCCTGGATATAGTTATCATATTCTTCTTGGGCTTTCTTTACTTCCTCATTTCGCTTACATATATACTCAGGTGTGACACCGTAATCCTTATAAGGATTTTTCAGAAAAAAAAAAAAAAAACCAATATCCTGAATGCAACTTACATATGTATACATACCAACTAGTGATTGGGAGAAAAAGAAATGTTACAGATTTAAAGCCTTTGCTCAGAACATGGAAAATTGACAAAATTCAATTTTATTTTCTCTTTTCTCATTGGGAACTTGTTGATTCTCATCTTTTAAACCCGAGAAGCACAGCTGCCAACTCTCAGTGGACATGGAGTGTAAGCAAACAATAAAATTTAGTTGGTTTTTAGCTGCTGAAATTGGGGATTGTCTGTCATTAAAGCATAACTTAACCCACCCTGGCTAAAAAAAAAGGGGGTAGAAATCCTAGCTATAAATGTGTTCTGGAAAGTTGCAAAACACTATACAAATAAATGCTATACCATAGCATTCTGGTAAATTAGTGCAGTGGTAAACAGTCCAATTCGTTTCCGGAAACACTTAGGGCAACACCTCATTAAAGCTCGGTACAGATCCTGATGTTCATAATAATGATTCTGAGTCATCACAACATTATTTTTGGCATATTCTGTTTAATAAAGGGAATAAGGTAAGACATTTTAGGAAAAAGAGCTCTCTCACAGATGGGTAAAAGCTTCAGTGATCTGAAATGCTCCCGTGTGCTGGGTCACTGAGGGCTAATGCATACCATTAATGTTAATAATTAATAATACCCATTCTCTATTGAACTTTTATTAGGTGCCAGATATTGTGTCAAGTGCTTGACAGGTTTTATATCATTTAACCCTCACTACAATCCTGGGATAAATCTAATGACTTCTTAAAGATCACAGAGGGAGAACTGGAAACACTGTCTTACTATTATTGCTGTATACCTCGGTTTGTTTTCACAAATGGTTTCTCATGGCATGAATGGGCATATAACATTTCATTTGGACCTAAAACATGAGGTTCACTCACTTTTTAAAAACTGGCATTGCCCAGGGCGCCTGGGTGGCTCATTCGGTTAAGCGTCTGACTCTTGGTTTCCTCTCAGGTCATGATCTCCTGGTTTGTGAGTTCGGGCCCTGCATTGGGCTCTGTGCTGACAGTGCGGAGCCTGCATGGGATTCTCTCTCTCTCCTCCTCTCTTCCCCTCCCTGCCTCTCGCTCTCTCTCTCTCTCTCTCTCAAAATAAATAAATAAACTTTAAAAAATGGCATTTCCCTTCAAAAGGCTTACTATCTCACTTATCATTCACAGATTTTTAAAACTGAACTCTGATCAGTGGGAAGTAAGTTGAGAAGTCCTTCATGAGCCCTGAAGGCTTGGCCAGCAACACCATCGGTGCAGAGCATTTACATGGCTTGGTAAACAAGCACAGGTAGATTAACTTCACATTCTTCTGTCTCCATGTGGAATACTCTCAATTTTCCGTTCAGGGAAGAAGATGCATTGAAGTGGACAGCTGGGGCAGAAGGCAGTCAGAAGAGGGGCACAAAGTGGTCACTGGTGGCATAACCAGCAAAGGAGAAGGGTTTTTATGTCATCGTGGAGAAATAATGGCTTGGAAATGGCTCTGAAGAGTCAGCCAGGAGACTGAAATTTCTGCTTGTCCACACCCCATGGGACAAGGAATATGAGCAGCCTCCAGGACACAGAAGGAGGAAGTACTCAAAGAAGTCTGACATAACTTTATGAGCATGTGCTGCCAACCCGTCGATACCTGCTGAGGTCTTCCAGAAGTGTCTTAGCTTATGGAGTGGTAAGAGTTTCTGAGAGAATAGGTGGTGTGCTCTGACGACAGCCTCGAAGTTCCTGTTTCAGCTTTGAACAGGCATTGGATTTATCATGGTAGATCATTGGACTACCTCAGTGCAAGCCCTTCATACAATTTCTTTGCAATTTCGTTGCAATTTCTTTTCTATTTTTCCTCTTCCTTCCTTTCTTCCTTCTGTCCTTCCTTTTTTATTTTTTTTTGCCATGACTCATTATTACATATTACTATTCTTTAGGATTGTGCACTCATATTTTCCTATGTGTGTTCTAAGCAACGTTGTACTCTGTAAGTATACAAAATGAAATAGGTTTTGTATTAGGTATTTTTGTAAGCCTTTCAAATTTTAAAGGTCTTCTATATTTAAATGAACTCAGGCTCCTATAATTTTCACCAATGAAATTGTATGCCTCTACGATGAGCACCTTTTCAGATAGAGATGAAGGTCCCCAAAGGACTAGATTATTGTATAGTACTTTCAAGGTCTCCTTTACTCCAAGCACATTCAAGCTGAAATTGTACACTGATAGGAGAGATGGCTCTAAAGTTATTTTCCTCTTCATTTTTCCTCATTCTGCTACCAAGATCCTGCAGCCTAATGACTAAATCTTAGGACTTTATTTTTTTTTAAGTTTATTTACTTATTTTGAGAGAGTGAGAGAAAGAGTACAAGCAGGGGAGGGGCAGAAAGGGAAAGAAAGAATCCCAAGAGAGTTCATGAACTCAGGAGCCATGAGATCATGACCTGAGCCAAAATCGAGAGTCAGATGCTTAGCCAACAGAACCACCCAGGTGTCCCTTAGGACTTTCTGAAAAGCTATTTCTTAGTAATGATTCATAGTAATGACTATGCTTTTCATGAAATTTCTACCTCACTAAAAATTAACATCTTTCAGAGACTGTTAGAATTGGTAAATATATTAATAATTGAAATTAAGGGAACAACCCGAGTTTTCCTCTGCTAGGCAACATGGTGTTATTCTTTCCAAATTCTTCATAATTTCATCACATATAATTTGGATCAAGCACAGACTTCAGAGGAATGATAATTGGCAATCTAGATAATTTTCCCAGTGAGAGCACTGTTAGTGATAATATAGATGATCATTATGAACATCATTCTTAAATTATTTGAATTTTAGGTCCAGGAATATATTATAAGGTTACCTTTTTATTGATGTATTTTGGAAATAGTCCTGAAGTTTCAAGATCATGCTTATCTCCAGTTTTTTTGTCAACATAAATTGGTTTAGGCTTCTTAGTCACTCCCAGAATGACATTGGCTGCATTTGTGTTTATAAAATTTGTTTCGCTTCGTATTCCCATGACTGGATGATCAGTTCTCAGTGGCACAGGAGGCTTTCTGGGCTCATTCCGATCAAACTTTTTTTCTGTTAAATATAACATACCCTTGTTAATATTAAATTATAAACATTGCTATTCAATACTGTTTATAATATCTAGATATTTTACCATGAGGATATTAGAGTTTTATTAATAATATATTCAAATATTTTGGGTAAAAAATCAGTAATCATTAGTGCAAAATATTAAGTGCAACATAATCAATTAACATGCTGAAGAACAATATACTAACCTAAGGAAAGGAGATAAGCCCCCCAAATCATATGCTAGCTAACCAATATATTTTTACTAGTTATTGTGAAAATATTTTCTAATAAAGATGTCAACAACAAATGTTCAGCTTCCTCACTGGAAAAAATTCAAAGAAACATTAAAACTCTTTTCTGAGTACTACCAATATTGCTAATAATTGCTTATTCAAAGGAAAGTTATTGCAAAATCACCAATACATCAAACTTGATGAAAATCCAAGACTGTATGGATTTTTTTTTCACCAGAACTCTTGTTACTATAAGGTATGAAGATCATGTAATAACTATGTACCCAACATGCAGCTTAACAAAAATTACCAACACAGTTGAACTTTCCTATTCGCTCCTCCCTGATTGCATCTCACTTCCTAAAATTACTACTATACAGAATTCATCTTATTTATTTCTCCCTACCACATTCTCTTCATTAGCAGCAGATGAAATTGGCCATTTTTACACAGCCTCTTCAACTTGACCATTCCAACTCATCTATTTTGATACAGCCACATCAAAATGGTTTGTTAGAAAAGAATGTAAAATAATTACAATTTATTTCCAAGAACTGAAGGCAACAGACGTCTTGACAAAACCTTATTCAAATCTTAACTCCACACAATTACTAGGTACTTTGGCTTTATTCATTTCTGCACTGTTTGAACTTTTTTTTATGAGTTTATGTGACTTGTATTAGCAGGAAAAAAGATATTATTAGAAAGTAAGGACTGGATTAACCTCTCATGATGGGCTGAATTGTGTCCCTCCCAATATTCGTATGTTGAAGCCCTAACACCAGTACCAGAGGTAAAACCCTTTGGACACAGGGTTTTAAAGAGGTACCTAAGTTAAAATGAGGTCACTCTAGAGTGGGTCCTAACCCAATGTAATGGACGTCCTTAGAAGAGGAAGAAATTTGGACACAGACACACACAGAAGGAAGACCATATGAAAAGAAATGAAAATACAGCCATCTGCAAGCGAAGAACAGAGGCCTCAGAAGAAACCAACTCGGACAACACCCTGATCTTGGACTCTGGCACTCAGAATTGTGACCAAATACATTTCTGTTCAAGCTCCTCAATCTGTGATTCTTTGTTATGGCAGCTCCAGCAAACTAATACTTCTGATATAGTTCTACACACCTAGAAATATTATAAAGGAGTTTTTGGAAAATTTGTTTATTCATGAATTCATGCAGCATATTTTTGTTGAGCAAATACCATGTCCCCAGTTAATGATCTGGGAACTGTAGATACAATAGTAAACAAAAGAGACAAAGTTCTTATGGCGAGAACTCTCATGTTCTGTTCTCATGGAGTTTATAGTGGGGAAAGAAAAATTAAATTTAATATGTAGAATATAATATATATATTTGCTTGAACCATATGTGAAAGTTGTTTACGGTTTCTGATCTACCAAAATAGTATCTTCCTATGTAATACATTACTGAGATGTTGTGAGCATTGTTAGAGATTTCATTTGGAGTTCCTATAAAGCCTGGAGCAGAGAATAAGGACTCATTGTTACAACCCAAAGAGTTTCTTTCTGCCAGATACACTTAACCAAATCATATTTGCATAATTTTTGCCTAAAAAATCAGAGGTATCTCTCCTCTAGATGTTCACACTGAAATTATTCATTGGCCAAATTTAATTATGAGTTGAAAGTGCATGCAAATGGCTCCTGTAGCTATAAAGGAATATGTAGTTTTATAAATGTATATAAGAGGTAAACTAAATTCTTAGAACGTGAGGAAACAGTTCAGAAAGACTGATAATTCATTCTTAGGTGAGGAATTAGAGCAAATGACAACCCTTGGTTGGTTATGATTGTCCAGTGGATGGAGCCTAACACTGGCCACCTTCTTTCCCTTAACCTACCTAAACATCATCTTTTCTCTCATCCCAGGAGGAGGGGTTGGCAATGGGGTGAGGCTTGGAAAATGGGATGAAGGTGTCTTTTCACAAATTATTTGGCAGTTGGGATAATAAATCTGAAAACCAAATGGTTTGGCATTTTAATGTTATGTCAAAATGGCAATGTCAACACAGCCTTGTAGTCATGTCAACGTTCTATCAATTGAATTTAGAGAAATGTTCATGTATCTGTTTTCAGTGTGTCTAACAAATTTCTGGCATCAAAACTATTGTGTTTGAAATGGCAGAATATTCAAAAAGAGACTAGAGGGGCGCCTGGGTGGCGCAGTCGGTTAAGCGTCCGACTTCAGCCAGGTCACGATCTCGCGGTCCGGGAGTTCGAGCCCCGCATCAGGCTCTGGGCTGATGGCTCAGAGCCTGGAGCCTGTTTCTGATTCTGTGTCTCCCTCTCTCTGCCCCTCCCCCGTTCATGCTCTGTCTCTCTCTGTCCCAAAACATGAGAGACATGCTCATGTCTCTCATGTCCCTTTTGAAGACATGAACTTATGCGTGGATGTTTAGATGTGCTTTTTTCCCTCTTTCCTGATAATGTCCTCATCCTTTGTCATGGCACATGGGTTTTGCAAGAGGATTGTGGGATAGCAAATATTGCTATAGGGAGAAATAGTTCCACTTTTGTCAAAAGATCCATCCTAGCTGGACTTCAGGTGTTGAATTATTTTCTTGATGCCAGGTGACAAAAAAAGGCTAACTTTTTAAAAGAGAGAGACTAATCTCTCTCTCCTCTCTATTGTCTTAAAATATCAGGAAAGATACACCCAGGATGGGAAGAAGCTTCTTCCATGCATACACCCATTTTCCATATAGCCTTCTTCCTAAAATCTATATGCTCGATGACCATTATTACATAATTTTCAATGCCTAGTACAAAAAGACAACATGGGGCACCTTGATCAAACATCAAGAATTTCAAGACGGCAAAAGCAAAGCATTAAACCAAGCTCCTCAGCATGTGGCCCTCCCCATGCGAATGCCCGAGAAGCTGGCTCTGTCTACCACTCATTCACGAAGGGTCCTCCATTACACCTGACTTATTTGCTGTCCTAATGGTCTTAGAGATCTGGGAGAGTTAAAGCCCATGCCTGATAGTTGCTTCAGCTGGTATAACAGTTGTGATTCTCATCTCTTGCAGGGAAGACCAGACAGGGTTTAGATGCTAGGCCATCTTCTCATTGGGGCTTAGGACTCTTCTTATAATTGTCATTTGTTACTGAAGTCATACGGCTAGGGACTAGGATGGTGAGGCATGTGGTGCTAGCGGTAGGGCTTCATTAAATAGTCCAAGATGTCATTCAGATGTATGCACCATAACAGGGAAAGGCTATTTGGGGTATAACTCAGCATTCTCCACCTTCTTTTTCCACTGAATTCTCTACTTCTACTTTCTCCTAGCCTCTCAGTTTCTGTTAAATATGAGGTAAACCAATCACCTATGAACATTTAATATTCATAGGCAGTAAGATAATTCTAGTTAAATTATCTGTTAGCACTTTTTTCAAGTTTATTTATTTATTTTGAGAGAGAGAAAGGGCAAGTGGGGGAGGGGCAGAAAGGGAGGGAGGGAGAGAGAATCCCAAGCAGGCTCCATTCTGTCAGCATGGAGCCAGGTGTGGGGCTCCAGCTCACAAACCGTGAGATCATGACCTGAGCCAAAGTCAACTGCTTAACTGACTGAGCCACCTAGGTACCCCGCTGTTAGCACTTTTAATATTAAAAAGAGTGATGAAACCTACTGGGTGGTAGAGTTTTTTCCATTGAATGTTTCTTCAGGAAATTCTTTGGAGAAGGTAGTTCAACTTTTGGTGGCCCCATAGTCTTCATTGCAGCTTTACATTTTTGCGTGTTATCTTTAATAGAGGCCTTAAAAATGGATACGTACCTAAAAGTAAAAAAAAAAAAAAAAAAATTGTAGCATTTATATTTCTAGTAAAAATTGCTTACAGTTTAAGAAAGGATATACATTTTAATGTATATAAGTCTATATTCATTCAGAGATAGACATAAAGCATAATTATCTGAGCCCTGTCTATCAGGTACCCTAGATGGAAGTTTGGCCCTGAGAGGTGCCAGTGTAAAGATTATAGTATTTCCTTGTTATCATGTGAATGTGTGTAGCATCAATGGTGAGGTCTCCTCTCCCATTCCTGATATTGGTGAACTGTGTCCTTTCTCTCCCCACTATAAATTCCATGAGAACAGAACATGATCATATCAGGGTGCCTGGGTGGTTCAAGTGGTTAAACATCTGACTCTAGGTTTCAGCTCAGGTCATGATTTCTTGGTTCATGAGATCAAGCCCTGTATCAGATTCTGTGCTGATGGTGTGGAGCCTGCTTGGGATTCTCTCTCTCTCCCTTTCTCTCTCTCTTCCCTTCTCCTACTTGTGCTCTCTCTCTCTCTCTTTCTCACTCTCTCACAAATAAATAAATAAAAACATTTAAAAAATAAATAATCATATCTTGAACTGACCACTTCATCATTATAAAGTAATGTTCTTTATCCCCTTTAAAACTCTGTACTCAAAAATCTACTCTATGTCATATTAATAAAATTATTTCAGCACTCCTTTGATTTGTGGCAGCACAGTGTTTTCTGATCTTTGACTTTTTACTTATTTTGTGACTTTATTTTTAAAGGAGTTTTCTTATGGAAAGCATAGAAACTTTAACCTTTCTAAAAATCTCCTTTATTTGGTGTTCAGACCATTCATATCTGATGTAATTTTAAAAATACATTTGCGGGGGACTGAGTGGCTCAGTCAGTTAATCCTCTGACTCTTGATTTTGGCGTAGGTCATGGTCTCACAGTCGTGAGATTGAGCCTGGAGTCAGGCTCTATGCTAGACGTGGAGCCTGCTTAAGATTTTCTCTCTCCAAGGGTGCCCGGGTGGCTCAGTTGGTGAAGTGTCCAACTTCAGCTCAGGTCATGATTTCATGGTCCGTGAGTTTGAGCTCCATGCCAGGCTTTGAGCTGTCAGCACAGAGCCTGGAGCCTGCTTTGGATTCTGTGTCTCCCTCTGTCTCTGCCCCTCCCCTGCTCACATTCTGTCTCTCTCTCTCTCTCTCTCTATCAAAAATAAAAATAAGCATTAAAAACATGTTTTTAAAGAGTTTCTCTTTCCTTTTCCCTCTGGCCCTCCTCCCTCAAAAAAAGAAAAAAAGAAAATATAAAAATAAACAAAAAATTTAAAAAGTAAAAATAAAAAATGAATAAAACTCCGTGTTTAAATTTTCCATCTTGCTATTTGTTTTCTACATACCATTTGTTCATTCTTCTTCTTTTTATTTGCCTTATTTTTATTTTTTGACTTTGTTTTATTTTATGTAAGTTCTGAAGTTTATCATATACATGTTTAACTTATAGTCTACCTTCAAGTAACATTATACCATTTCATATAGAGTGTAAAAACCTTAACAAAAGAATACTTGCATTTACCCATCATCCCACCTTTGTCCTAGTGTTGTAATATATTTTACTTCCATGTGCTATAAAACCCATAATTCATTGTGATTTTTCCCCTTAAAAAGCCAACTATATTTTAAAGAAATTTAAAGAGAAAAAAATAATTTCTAATATTTACCCATGTATTTGCCATTTCCAGTGTTCTTTATTTCATTATGCAGATCCAAATTTCCAACTTGTATCCTTTCTTGTGCATTAAGGACTTTTTAACATCTGGATTCCATTGTTTCTGATGAGATATTTGCTCTCTTCTTTGTATTTAATGTTTCTTGTATCTCTGGCTGTTTTTAAGACTTTTCCCTTTATCACTGGTATTAAGAAATTTGATTGTAGGGGCGCCTGGGTGGCGCAGTCGGTTAAGCGTCCGACTTCAGCCAGGTCACGATCTTGCAGTCCGTGAGTTCGAGCCCCGCGTCGGGCTCTGGGCTGATGGCTCAGAGCCTGGAGCCTGTTTCCGATTCTGTGTCTCCCTCTCTCTCTGCCCCTCGCCTGTTCATGCTCTGTCTCTCTCTGTCCCAAAAATAAATAAAAACGTTGAAAAAAAATTAAAAAAAAAAAAAAAAAGAAATTTGATTGTAATGTCCCTTGGTATGGTCTTCTTCCCCTCCTCCTTCTCCTTCCTTTTCTTCTTCCTGCTTGGCATTCATTGTGGTTCTTGGATTTGTGTATTTAGAAATTTCATTAAATTTGTCAAAATTTTGGACATTACTCAAATATTTTTTCTGTTTACCCATCTCTCTTCTCTTCTTATGTAATTCTAATTATACTTATGTTAGGCTGTTTGATGTTGTCTACAATTCACTGATTCACGGTTTTCCTTTTCAGCTTTTTTTTTCTTGTTTCATTTTGTATTGTTCTATTACTGTGTCTTCAAAGTCAACAATATTTTCTTCAGTGTTTTAGCTACTGTTAATCCCACCTAGTAGACTATTTTCATTTTAGGCATGGTATCCTTTAGGTCTAGAAGGGAACTGCTGAGTTTTGTTTAAATTCCTGTTACTTGAGCTTTGGCCTGGAAACTCTCTAGGGAGAATGTTGGGGCAATTGTAGGGCTTGTTTCTCCTTTCTTAGGGGTGACTGCTCTGTGCTGTCTATTGGCCAGTGTATGAAAAACTATTGTTTTACACTTTGTTTTCAGATGTTTTAGTTGTTTAAGGTGAGACGATAAATTTCATCCTTGATTGGGAGAAGTTTAGCTATGCCACTTTTAACAACTTGTATTCTCTCTCTCTCTCTTTTTAAGGTCTATTTATTTTTGAGAGAGAGAGAGAGTGCAAGCAGGGGAGGGACGGAGAGAGGAGCACAGAGGATCTGAAGAAGGCTCTGTGCTGACAGTAGTGAGATTGATGTGGGGATTGAACTCATGAACTGTGAGATCATGACCTCAGCTGAAGTCTGATGCTCAACCGATGCTGATAAGTTTGCTTGGAAAAACATTAAATTGTTTCTTGCTTTTAGAGGCCTTTACTCAATCTTGAATTCAATGGTTGCGGATTAATTATGGTCTAAAAAGAATGAGTTTATTAGATACCTTTATAAAATAATGTTCAATCTAAATTTGTGCCTTAAGTTTCCTACAGAAGTTGGAATTGGCAGATATCTCTTGATTAATAAAATAACTTCCCCTGTGGTAAGAAAAGAGTGTATATGCTCTCACTTCTTTTTAATTTGCTATCTTGTGATTCAATACATTATTTTGTGAGCTGAAAGCTTACCCATTTGTTATACAAAACAATATATTTTATACTTTATGAATAATTTTTTATTTTTCCAAATTACAAAAATAAAAAATGATGAAACTATCATAATGCTATATACTAATTATATATCAATTTTAAAAAGGAATAAAAATCTAGTTTTACTCTATCTCCTCAACCCATTTTCCAAATAAATTTCGTTTTCTATGTTTCTATTTATGTATGAAATATACCTTGTTTTTTTTTTTTTTTTTCAACGTTTTATTTTATTTTTGGGACAGAGAGAGACAGAGCATGAACGGGGGAGGGGCAGAGAGAGGGAGACACAGAATCGGAAACAGGCTCCAGGCTCTGAGCCATCAGCCCAGAGCCCGACGCGGGGCTCGAACTCACGGACCGCGAGATCGTGACCTGGCTGAAGTCGGACGCTTAACCGACTGCGCCACCCAGGCGCCCCTATACCTTGTTTTTTAAAACTTAATATAATGTGATTTCTTTCCATATTAGTACATGCAAAGTTTCTTTTCTTTACAAGAGATGAAGAAAAATGTTATTATTGTGGAAGTCTGCAGAGACTGGACAGCTATATTAAAATCTGAATAACAATTTCTAACACTAATCATAAAACTCTGAGACCACATATGGCAGCAATGAGAATTTTAACATAAAATTTCATTATTCTATAAACAAGCACTTTGGAATATTCCTGGCTTTCTTTGAATATAAGTTCATTTAAAAGGACTACTGCTTTCCCCAGTTGAATTATTGGATACAAATTGTCAGCAAAGTAGATAAGAACCTCAGGAGAAAATAAATATGTTATCTAAGATTTCATAATAGTCAAGACTACTTAGCAAAGTCAGATACATAACTAGACTTTAAACGAAGAGATGTTATAAAACCTCAGAAAATACAGTAGTATGGAAAATAAAGAAAATGAAAGATAGTCCAAGAAAAATGAAAAGCTCTGAAAATGAAATTCAGACTCCATGTCACAGTTGATGCCAGTGAAAACCAGAAAGCCTTAAAAGAAACCAAACAGCCAACTAGTGAGTGCTTAGACATTAAATATTCCCACATTAAATAAGCATGCATCCAGAAACTCCATGTTTCTGGATGTAAATTTTAGAGAGCATCTAAAAACCTGTAGAGAAGCAAGGATTAAATGAGCCATTTGGAGTTTCAATTCCCTGAAATGAATATCATTTTTAAAAAAAGATTATTTGACTCATAAATCAGGCAAATACCTTAGACATAATATACACCTTTATGTTAGCAGAGACTCTTATCCTTACTGATAAGAGAGATATGAATTGATTAATGTATGCACATGGATGACTGACTGAACCCTCAAACATTGAATGGCTGTCAGCCTAGAAAGAAGTGTCCTTTAGTCTACTAAGCAAAATATTTGCCCTATTCAATGACAGATGGAGATATACAAGACATACTTATTAGATTTACAAATGACACAAAGCTGGGAGGGACGGTTGAGACAGTGTATGAAAGATTTAAAGTGCAAAACTATCTCCGTAGATCAATGATGAGTTTAGATTTTTAAAAAATCAGTTACATTAATTATAGGATGAGAGAGACTGACCTTAGCTATAAGTCATGTGGGCATTTCAATGTGAGGCAATGGTGGGACATGAGTGTCAAAATGCTAATGAATTCATTAATGGAAGTATTGTGTTAAAGATAATGGTTCCATAAACTTTTTGGTACATATCTGGAATATTACCTTAAACAAAAGGGAAAGAGAGAATGGTTGGAGATTTTAAGTAACTGGAGCCATCAACAGAAGGGTGACAAATTTGGTGAACATCTTGGAAACTATCTCATGTGTCATGAGCAATTGAAATTTTGAAAACTGATTCATGGCTTCCCATTGACTTTAACATTGTTAGATCTTAAATCTCAGCTCATTAAGTTCAACTGCAAGAGGATGGCCTTCACCCCACTTTCACTGCACAGATCCATTTTCTAAGTTCTCATTAGTTATCTGCATCTCTCATTGGGATATGGTTTTATTGTTAATCAACATTTTAATGTTTGTATTTTAGTTTCCCAAGGAGACTGTAACCTCTGAGGCATGAGAGATCACAATGCAGTCAGTTGTTGAGAAATCCACCACTTTGTGAAAGCTGGACAGTAATCTTGCTAGTCTTGCAAAGAGCCACAGTGAGCTTTCTTGAAGCTGGGTTTATAACTCAGTAATGCAAATAGATTTCTTTCTTTTTTTCTTTCTTTCTTTCTTTCTTTCTTTCTTTCTTTCTTTCTTTCTCTTCCTTCCTTTTCCTTCCTTCCTTCCTTCCTTCCTTCCTTCCTTCCTTCCTTCCTTCCTTCCTT